AGTACAAATTTAATTATTATTTTTAATAAAAAAAAATTTATAAAAATGCGAATTTATTTTTATTTAATATGTTTCACAAGTTTATTATTGTAATTTAATTAAATTAAATATTGGAAAATCGATTTGTTACTTTACAAGTATTTGCGGTGGAATTGTAAATTGAAGCTTTTTATGTTTAATATGAATATAAGTCTCAGAAAAACAATCAAGAAGAAAGCATGCTGTTTTTCGTGTTAAAGTTTTGATATTCCGAGAAGAATACTGATAAACTGCCCAAGTCGAATCATGAATAAAGTTTTCCTTAAAGCTGTCGTCATTAAATCGTAAATAGTTGATATATCATACTTCTTTTATTATTTGTTCTGCCATATGATACTTCTCCGTATTGTACCGTAAAAGACTGTGAAAGATTTCCACAGGCGTATCAGAAAATTTCAGTAATTCGGCTTTCATTATACTTAAAATCAGATGATTTTTGGATTGCCAATAGAAAATATCTAAAAGAAATATTAAAGGTGCTTTAGAATAATTTTTACGGTTAAACTTAAGAAAAATTACCCAAACTCGAAAACAAGACTCAAGATAAGAATTAAAATCACCAGCTCGAAAGAATACTGCATAAATGTCAAGAACTAATAGAATCGTATTATTCAGCAGGTCTTTAAGTATCAAGTATTCCAGATCTTTGCACATAACTGAATTTTATTTCAACCATTTTTGCAATTTCTTGCCATGCACTATGAGAAAGTTCCAACAATAAGTTGATACGCCACAGCTTTGGTTTTTAAGCAAGGTTTTTCTTTTTGTTGAATATATATTTGTACATTTCAGAAAAGAATGGTTGATATTGTAAAAAGATTAATTTATAACTGTTCAATGAGATGTGCAGGGGACCTATTATTGGAAGAAAAGACAAAACTTTATTAGTAATTTCAGAAGAGCTACCTACCGTGAACAAGATATCGGGATATAGCTGTTTTTAAATGTATTTAACCAGGCCAATTGGTGATGACTGGGATAACATTGCCATCTTCAATATATTTATTTATTGCTAGGATAGATGCAGCAATATTAATGGCCATAATATAAGCTTCCATTGTACGAAGATTGTTTTCAAAAAGATCTACAAGCATGGTGCCTTTTAGTGATCTTGAACTCCTTTTTTCTTTTAAACAAACATCATAACTATGGATCATCAATTCTTTAAGTTTGGTTTCATCATCCACAGAGCGAAATCCCCAATGTCAGTTATAAGAAAGTGAATATACTAGCATAAACTGATTTTCAATACCAGTTATGACTAATTGAGAATTAACTAATGTGAAGTTGTGGATATCTTGTCTTGGTATTGCTGGTTGGGTCTTGATCAGATTAAGTAAAATGGTAGCGAGATGTACTGGAGCAGACGTCATGATCATGGTAGGCATTTTTATAGTATAAATACTATGATAATTGTCAGTATTTAAAAGTAGTGCATTATTAGAACTATCTTCAAGACTAGTTTTCACAGTTGTCGAATGCATTTGAGACACTAATTCTTTACGATAAGAAATTGAACAGGATGTTAATGTTAAGCCCATTGTTGCTAAGGTGTCTATTGTGAAGTTAGGTATTCCCGTAGAATCTAAATACATTTCTAGATCTCTTTTTGTATTATTAACAAACTTATTTCTAATACCACAAATAAAATAACACAAAAATACTAATTGCTTTGATACTTTTTCCATAGTACTTATACTTTTTCTTCGTGGGTTGGTCGATAAATATAGTTTGTTGAAGAAAGACTTTACCTGTTGATCTTTTGATTCAATAACTGCACGAAATTCTTCAAAATTCCAAATTGTTGGCAGTTTATTATGCTCTCTTTTATAAAGAACATCTGTAATTATTTCTACAGCCTGTGAAAAAGTTAAATTATCAGTAAAAATATTTATAGATGTTTCTTCAGAGATTTCTGGCACATTATGACAAGATTGTTTTAATGCATGTTGCTAAAATTCAACTGCACTTCTTGTTATAATTCTGTTATCGCAATTTAAGCAAATCGTATCACCTAGCTGAACATAATTTGAAAAAGTTTTGTTAGTTTGACCTTTAGAAATAATGTTTTCGGTTACTGCTCTCCAGTTTGTTGACCGTCTTTTGCAAATAGTAATTATACAAAGTTCTGTAATGTTACTAGTAAAAGGCATTTTTGTCTTCTAAGCAAAGTATACAAGGAGTATGATTTTTTTTTGATTCTTTTGCACAGTGAATCTTGGCACTATTCTAAAGCTATAAATGGTCTTTGCGATGATTTTTTATTAGTAAAACGTTGTGTTATGAAAAAGTACTTTAAAGTGTATAAATAAGTTACCTAGACAATTGATTTGTATTAGCCAATCAGACAAACTTCTTCCTTTGATAAGGAAGGTTCCAGTTCTCTGTAGATAGTATCATGTTTATTGTTATGATCACCCCAAACATGTGATTGCAATCTACCTGGTCATTCCAATTTGGAAGAAGTAAACAATGCTGATCTTCTGACAGGGGTAAGCTGTTTTGCCCACTTTTTTTAAAAATTTTGGTAAAAACACAAGTAGGTGATAGTAAAGAATATTGATCCCATACTTTTCTTCAAAAAGAGTATATGTTTCTTCAAAAAGAATAATACAAGTAGGTTTGAGCGTACTGCTGCTCTTCTTTTTGGTAAGTGATAAACTCTGAACTTGTTAGTAAGTAGTATATGAGAACTACTTTTAAATAACAAGTGCCATCCTTATAGTAAATGATAAGCTCTGAAACCATTAGCAAATAGTATATGAGAACTATCTCTAAATAATAGCTGCTGGTTTATGGTTTTCATCAGTCTTATGTCCTTCTTTTCTAATATAGTTTTACTGTTTTTTAATCAAAGTTTGGTTTAAATAAAAATAATAATAATAATATTTTTTCTTTACTTCTAATATTTATTCTAGATACTTTCTTTAATTTGCTTATTATACTTGATTTAATACTATAAATCTCTAAACTTAAATTTATATATACATATCTTATCTTTAAATAAAAAAAATTAATATTTTAAATATTTTAGCTCTGGATCTATAATGCTATGTATTAGCCTAGTATATAGTATACTATATTAGCATGTTATATATATATAGTTATTTATAATTAATAAAGACAAAACTATAGTCGACCCTCTATATAGTCACCTCTCATACAATCATATCATATATAATCATATTTTTATTTAGACCAAACTATGTTTTAATTTATAAAAAAAACCTTCATATAAGCACAACCTCTTTAAAAGCATATTTTTAAAAAAATTTACTATATGCCCAATTGTGTAATTGTATGGGAGAATAACTGTATTTAAAAAAATCTTTTTATACTACTGTATATATAATATATATATAGCATTATACTATATACTATAGTTTATAAATTACTAATTAAATTTTAATTTAATTAATTTTTAAATTTAAACTAAACTCAAATTTAATTATAATTTTGTGTAAATTTGGTTTAAAATTAACAAACTAGTTTAAATTTAAAAATATTATAATTATAAATTTTAAATATTAAACAAGTTTATTTAGAATATACAGTAAAATTAACTTTAAAATTTAAAGTTTTTTAAAGTACTATTTAATTTTCCAAATATTATTAAAATCGTTTTATAAAAACAGCATATCTGGTAAATTTTACCTCCGGTAAGTGTTAAAATCGTTCCAGTAAATATACTATAATTTACTGTATATTTATAGTTATATAAAAAATAATCACTTTTTTTTAATAAAATAAGTTTGTAAATTATGTCGATCTTTTATGTCGTAATACCTAACCACACAACCTGATTGGATACTATAAACGACATTGCAGGAGTAAAAATAGCATCCGCTTCGGACAATTAATGTTATCAATTTACAAAGTATCACTGAATTAAAGTTTTTTTTTTTTAGAATATTTGAATGTTTAAAGTTATTTGGTAATAATTGTTAATATGCAGCTCGAGTACTGTCATTATTGATATTATCTAAAAAATTGGTATTTTGACCATTGTTCAAAGGTATGCAAAAATATGATAATAACTATATATAAAAACTCGGAAAGTACGCGAAATATACTATTTATTTTCTAGAACAAATGCGAGCGATCGATCACCGTAATCAAAATGCGAGTTAACGTTAATATAGAGTTTTATTACCGTTACTAACGTCCAAATTTCTTGTATTATACGTCACATCTAACAAAATAAAAACAATCTAACGCTAATAATATATTAGATTTTCTATTGTCTTATTTAGGTATTTGATGATTATGAGTCCAATTTCCCAATTTTGTAATTTAAGTTATAGTACACGTGTCTCTTATTTGCATGTAATATGTCACCTGGTGTACTCATTATTTATGTATGACAAAAAAGTCAGTCGTTAGTACGTATGCACGTAGAGAACTCGTATTATTTTTCAATTTACGTTGGTTATCTTCAACTAGCTCCAATTTTCACACTCTAATGAACTAAATATTACCGATAAAATTACCTTAAATTTGAATTAATACTGAAAGAATAATTTAATAATAATCCCGATATGTCACAGGATTCTCATAACGTTATATTTACTTCCCACGGGAGAAATAAGAAACGAATGAAATCTTCTTGGAGTTCGGAAGACGAAGACACTGTTCACCAAAAGGTGGAGGAAACAAGAGAAGAAAAATACGAACGTGGTAAGTAAAACAAAAAATTTCGGGGATAAAGTGCCTGCATCGAAATTCATAGATTATAATCAAAGTGTGATTTATTATTGAGAAAAGGATTTGAAAGGATTTAATTAGCAATATATGTTTAAGAAAATGTTCTTTATCGGGCACATTGCCTAATATCTTTTAAAGAGTTAGAGATGTTACTGAACAGTTTTTCCTTTTACCATGAAAGGAATATCTAAATTCGAAATTTTTTAATTTTTGATTTATGTCATCCATCGTAACTTTATAATAGATTATTATTATTATTTATTATTATTATTATTACTATTTTAAAGGCTAAAAATTTATGGAATACTTTTGTTGGATAATAAATGTAGTGCAACTTCTCCAAACACTTATTACTCTACAAAAGCGTCCAGACACACAACGTGCATTTGAAATTCTCAAAGAAGACATATCAAAGAAGCCATATCTACTTCCATTACGAACAGATCACAAAGGAAATAAACATGTTCAATCATTTGAACAATTGGTATGATTAACACGTCAATTGTCAATAATAGTTATTTTATTGATTTATAACGTAAGCAATTTGATCTTTCAGATGAAGCATGCCGATGACTATGAATCGGAATTTAGACGTCTTTATTCAGAAACAGTAAAACCTGACAATCCAAATTCCAATAAAAAATTTAGAGAGGCTGTAAACTTAACTCCAGGAACTATTTTCTGTGGACAGGTTAATCAAAAAACAGGTATTTATTATTTATTTATTTATTTATTTATTTCTCTTCATAATCATAAACGTGCATAAATGTCTTAACGTTTTTCCTTATTATAGAAATAGCTGTCCATCAAATGGAACTGGGAGGTCCACGGCCTACGAAGGATAGTCCACTCCCTGTATATTATAATAGTTGGAAACAATTGACAACGCTTGATGGTCATAATCAGCCAACATATTGTGTGCTATTTGATAAGACAGGTAGAAGGGTGTTTACAGGGAGTGACGATTCATTGATCCGTGTATGGTGCACAAGCACTGGATCGTTGCTTCGGGCATTATACGGGGTATATTTATACACATATATTTATTACAATTATAATTTATTAATTCTTTTATTGATATGTCGGCATTAATTTTTACATTTAGCACACCAAAGCAATAGTGGATATGACGATAAACTGTAAGAATGACTTACTTGCTACTTCATCCAATGATAAAACGGTCGTTGTATGGAGTCTTGACACATATACTGCAATACATCGGTTTGGGATGGTATGCATTTTTTGAAACGTTATTTATTATTTCTACAATTTACAACTAATAATTTCTTAATGTTTTGTTGTAGGATGAAATGGCGACATCAATCCTTTTTTCCCCGACTCCGATTGCAGAAAATCGTTATCTGATTGCGACTTCGGATAACTGGCATACATGGGTGTGCAAATATAATGATACTGACAATAGTTTTGGACCTACTTCTAAAATAAAACCCGTGAATGCCGTTGGGTCGAATAACAGAATGAAATGCACCTCATTTAACTATACTGGCTCAATGTTTGCAATTTCTGGTACTGATGGACTTATTCGAGTATATTCAACAATTGGCGGTACTGCTTTGTACGATAATACTAATAAAAAGGGTAAAAAAGCAAAAAAGCCCTTTGATCTTGTCGAAATAATAAAACAATCGTCTGATCCAGAAGACTCTGATGATTCTGATGATGATTTAATTAGCATGCCTACTCGAGTCGTTGGTAACGGTAACAACAATAATAACGATATAATAAGTAATAACTGTGACAATTCAAATAACGATGATGACCTTTTTGCTGATATGAATATGGATATGGCACGCAGTCTCCTCCTTGCAGGAGTAAAATCTTTCAACGGTCAAAATATCACTCAATCTACTCGAAAAGAATTTGTAGCTCCGATACAAAATAGGCAACCGATTTCGTCTTTATCAAAACATTATAATGCTATCCCGTCTACATCAAAACAACCAATTATTAATACTGTATCATCACCGAGTAGCAACATTTCTTTATCTTTAGAGTCAACATCACAATCTCATTCAAGCTCAAATCTTTCTCAATCGAGTACGAAAGTGCAATCATCTGCAACGATCGTTTCACAGTCTATATCAAGTCCAATTGTTCAGACGAGACATGTAACACATTCTTCGTCAACATCTGAAACTCAGGCCTCAAGACCGTTACTAATATCTTCATCAGGACCTATGACACGAGTCGCCAGATCGCGATCAAGATACCAAAATTCTAGAAATAATACTAGTATATCAGCGCCAGTATCACCAGGTTACGTCAGTTCAGCCGGAGAAGCCTCGGATACTTTATCTGTGAATGCCACTTGTCGTCGAATAAATCGTAATAATAATCGTAGAACGAATGCGAGTGCACCAGCTTCACCAGGACGTAACATAGCATCATCCCGATCAATAAATTATACAAACAATAATGTAATAACACCTGTTACTGTTCAAAATGGCGATTACGATGATCCAAATTTAATGAATCTTGCGAATTATTTCGATCCAGTTCATATTGCTGATCTGGACGGTCATACTGCCATTGTCAATAGTCTTGAATTTGCACATCGCAGTAATAGACTATTATCGGGAGCAGAAGATGGTACTGCACGCGTTTGGGAATATAATTATATTTTTAAGCAATGGACCTCAATTATTCTGGATGTTCGAGGGTCGAATAATAACGCAAAGGTGACTTCTATGCGTTGGAGTCTTGATGATACGAAGGTGATAATTGGGAATAATTACGGCATTATTACAATCTTTGATAGCGAAAATGGAGAAGTTAGAGTTCGAATAAATGCACACAATGATAAGATCTTTGTACTAGATATTCATCCACATGATTGTCGTGTGATGATGTCCGCGGGGTATGATGGCCGTATTGTAATGTGGGATATTATAGACGGTCGTGCTATCAAGGGTACGTTATTATATATGCTTAATAATTTACAATAATCTTATTAATGAATTATTTCATAACTTAAAGTTTGGGATCCGAGTAATTTGGAGTTTCTTGGTGATACGTTTGAATTTCTTGATGGAAAATTCCGTGATGATGGTATGTTCTTTTCTTTTTTATTTATTTTTTTTTAAAAAAATTATTCAAATGTTGATATTTTATTAGGGGAAATGTTTGCTGTAACTGATGGCAAAGGAAAGTGCCATCTTATTGGCATAGATCAGACATGTAATTATGATAAATATCGTATCCGTGCAGAAAATGGGCAGAGATTCTTCGAAGATTATACGACCAGATCCGTTGTATTTTCAGAACGAGAATGGACGTTTATTGACAACGATAGTGGTGTGAGTTTTTATGCACCTGTTGAAATATATATGTATATTTATGGAAACTAATTATATTTTTTACGTATCAGTTACCCATTGACCCGTCACAGCAAACGGAAGTACTGAGCTTGGGCAGTGTCCCATATGAGAGACAAGTACCTATTTCGTTGGGTATGTATAGGCTTAAGATTATTATTTCATATTGTTCTTTATTAACTAATTATACTTTATTAACAATTAATAATAGCACAAGGTAGACGGTCACGCCTTTCAAGTAAGAGACTTAAACCGGATATCGAAAATAAAAAACAAATTTTAATTGAAGAAGTTAACAAGTAGTAGTTTTTTTCTTTTTTATGTCAATGATAAAATTGGTGTTATTTTCATATTAATATAAAATTCTTTTAATACCATATCATAGATTACAACAGGGGGCAATAGTGAAGTAAATGTTGCAAAGATTTAGATATTGATTTATAGTAATACATTACCAATGATAATAAAATATATATCGTTCTATAATTAGGGTGGTTTTAAATAAGAAGGAGGTATCGTTGCGCCGTAAAAAGATTCAAATTCCAGAAGAGGATGATGACGACAATTACATGGACATTGATCCGTTAGCGATCGAAGAACCTATTATCCCACTACCTGATGATGATATTGATCCTGATTACGAACCTGGCCATACAGATAATGAAAGGTCTGATAGTGACAGTGATGGATCATGCAATTCAATAGAAATTGAAAACAATATATCAATGGATGAATATTATGAATCCATTGCTGAAGACAGTGATTTTGAACCTCGTAAAACTAGAAGCAAGAAAGCTCGTGCTATGTCAACACGAAGGACAAAACGTGAACGTAATTATTCAGACCATGAAGAATCTGTTGTGGAATCATCTCGAAAATCTAGGCGCAAAAGAAGACGTGTTAGCTACAAAGATTATTATGACAGTTCTTCAGACGAACCTTCAACACCCTCGGATGATATATACGAAGATGAATCTGCAGACATATCCGGTGCTGATCCAACTTCACCGTATAGGGGAGATTCCGATAATGATCAAGATGACGTTGACGCTGCTATTTTGGCCGCAGTTGAAGATGATGTTGATAATCGTCCAGAATGGATTAAAAGTGTTAACCCAAAATCAATTTATATTCCTCAACGCGGGGATATTGTTGCTTACTTCTATAAAGGTCACCGAACGTTTGTTGAAAGATCGACAACGGAATTTGCCGATTCTAAGCTCGCAAAGGACCTTTCAAAGAAGTCAGTCATTAATGCGCTCCCATATAACCGCTATCAACTCAACGACATCGAATTTCTTGAAATACGGGACGTCAAATGGTTCTCTGGACCTCCATCATACGCTACTGTTTCATGCGTTATACTAGAATATACGTCGACAGACGATTCTGTGTATCCAATGGAGCCAGATTTCCAGCAAACCAACCGAAAAGCAGATATCTCATACTTTGATATTGATGGGGTTTGTGAATTCCTTGTCTTGTATAAGCGGTTCGTGACGGGAGTAAATCAGAGCTTTGAAGTTAATGATAAAGTAGTAGTTCGTCTTGATTCAACTGATTTCTCCGGAACTATCGCAAAGGTTAATCCGCTGGATGACAATTCTTGGTGTGAATTTCCGACATATTTAGTTCAATGGTATGTTTGTTTACCTTATTATTATAAACCTATTGCTTGACTTCAGTCACATATTAATGTTTGTACATGTAGGGATGAAGAAGGCCAAGAACCTTCAGACTTCTTCACCTGGGAAATTAGGAAAAGTGGAATACCAGAGGTTGATTGTAGCCAACTGACGGAAGACGAAAAAAGAACATTCGATGAAGTCTTGACAGAGTTCATTCACAATGAAGAGTATGTTCTTTTCCATGAACATGTTGACTTTGCGCGATACGCAGATTATCTTGATCACGTTCCATATCCCATGTGCCTGGACATGATGCTTAAACGAGTTCGTAACGGGTTCTACAGAAGCAAACAGGTAATTTATTATTATTATTATTATTATTATTATTATTATTATTATTATTATTAAAAATCTTACATAAATCAACACGTTTCTTTAATTTACTTAGGGTTTCAAGAGTGATTTGGACCAGATCGTGATTAATGCTGTAGCATATAACAAGAGAAATTCAGCAATTGCAAAATTAGCGGGTCAGATGGTCTCTGAAATTGAGGCTACATGCAATAATCGTGGTACACCATTAGGAGGGGGTCCTTCAAAAAAGTGGAAAGGCAAGGCGAAAGCTTCGTAGCTTTATATATATATACATACATAATTTTTGACAAGTTGTATTGTCTACTATATATATTGATTTTTTTTGAGAATTACATATTTAAAATGATTGTTGTGATGCCTTTTAAAAATTTTCTTTTTCCATAGAATCAATATTTCATATTTTAATATTTTTCAAAAAAAAAAAAAAGTTTAATACACACCCGAATTTATTTTAAATAAAATTGTGCTTTACTGTCATTGAGAATTAAAATATTGGGTTTGGTTTAAAGTGCAAAATATTAGAGAATTAAAAATATAGATTAGGTTTATATTAGATAAATTCTTTGTTAGAACATTGTTTAATTTCAGACTTGTAAACCAATGAATTTATAATTTACTGTAATATAAAAAGTTTTATTAATAATAATAAATTAAGAATGGTTTTATTTTAACTTTACTAAAACGCATCTATGGTGTTTTACATCTACGTATGTATTAATTAATACATGTAAAACCCTCTTTCAAACTCTAACCTTAACCCTAAATACTAACACTAACATGAAAATTTGGTGTTGAAAATTTTTTATTCAAAACTTAAAAAAATTTAAAAAATATAATAAAACATAATAGATACAATAGCACTATAGATATATTTTATAATAAATATTGAGAATTGCTATTTCTAGATATTAAAAAGTGCTTTAAAATAGATATTTTTATTAAATAAACCTTTTTTTTGATTTTAATAAAAGCTATTTACTAAACCTTTTTGGTTTTAATAATAGTAAAATCATTATACTCAGATTAGTAGTTTCTAAAATATATATATCTAAAGTTAGTTGACTTTTATTTACTTTTAAAAAAAAATTAACAGTTTGATTTTAATAATTTTACTACTATTAGAACTATAGTTGATACTGTTTAATTATATACTATCTAATTGTATATACTCTCTAAATGTATAAATAATTTTGACTTTTTATTATTAATGCAAAAATAGTTCTTATGACTTAAATGCATATATTGTCTATATAAATAAAAAAGTTTTTCATAGATAGTATACAATTAGACAGTATTAACTATAGTAAGTTCTGGTAAAAACTTTTATTAAAATCAAAAAAAAAAGTTTTTTTTTAATAACAATATCTTTTTCAAAGCACTTTTAAATTTTAAAAGGTGACATTAGCAAAAAATAGAAGTGGAAATAGCAATTCTCTAAATGTTTATTTTTAAAATATAAGTTTAACTATATAAAATCTTTTTATATTTTTTATAAGAGTTTTTTTATAATCAAAGATATATAACTTATATATTTTTAACCTATTGGTTAATTAAAACAAGCAAAAATTATATAATCTAATTTTTAGATTACTAGCTAGTAAAAAAATTTATATAATTTAAAATTTTATCTAACTTTCTAAATAAAAAATTGGCCAATCAAATACAATAATACTAAAAAAAGTTATGTTCTTAAAAAATTTCTTTATTAATAAAAAGTTATTTATATTAGTTATTATATAAACTAAAAAAAACATAATCATTCAACTCTTCCTGACAATTTCTTGTACCAAAATTACAATAAACTTTTTTTTATAAAAAACAATAAACTATAGTAGAAAAAAAGAAAATAAGTCTGGTCAAAACCATAAACCAGCATCTGTTATTTAAAAATAGTTCTTATATACTACTTGTTAACAGGCCCAGAGCTTATTACTTATTATAGAGATAACACTTGTTATTTAGAAGTAGTTCTTATATATTATTTGCTAACAAGTTCAGGGTTTATCACCTACCAACAAGAAAACTAGCAGTACACTTGGCTCTATATATTTTATTAGTTTTAAAAAAAAATAAACTTTTTTTAAGAAGAATACAAGAGTTATACTTCATACTATCACCCACTTACTTTTTCAACAAAATTTTTATAAAAGTGGACAAAACAGCTTACTTTTATCAAAAGATTGATATTGTTTACTTCATACAAATCAGAATATCACAGTAGATTGCAACCACATGGTTTGTTTACCAATGAATATAATGCTACTTCACATAACAAGGCCTCTATCTAATAAGCTATACACAGATATTTAAATAGTTAGAAAAAAATTTTTTTGTTAAAATATAGCTTTACAATAGAGATATACAAATGTTGCATTTGTTATATAATTTTTTAAACCTAGTACAGGTTATTTTTTTTTTTTTTTTTTCTTTGATAACCTCGCACAAATTTATTAGATGTATGTAAGTTTAAACTATCTAAATTCATATTTGGCTAATACCCGGC